TTAAAAATATGGCTTATAACTATTATAGCTCACTAAAGGTTCGCTCATCAGAGGGCGGTGTCTGGATTGCCGCTCCTCAGCAGCATTCAGGTGAGTATGACATTTTTCTTCAGATGCCAGATGAGTCCGTCTGCCCTCTATCAGTGGTGGACCATAAGGACTCTGGTGATGAGTTCATGCCAACAAAATGTCCGCAACGAAGTGGTGTTCAACTAGGTCGTATAGCCATTCACAGTCTGTAGAGACAGGAGCAGATGCCGCCGCCCACACCGGTTTTTCAACGGCGTGGTGAAGTCTCTAACATTGCCTCGAAATGCCCTGATTCTGAGACAAGAGGTATGCAACCTGCTAGAAAAAGGAGCGGTAGAACGAGTCCCTCCGAGCGAGCTGGAGAGCGAGTTTTACAACCGCCATTTTATGGTGCCCAAGAGAGATGCAGGACTACGCCCGCTTCTAGATCTCAGGCCCATCAACAGAGCGCTCTGCAAGCGTGCGTTCAGGATGATAAAACAGATCCTGGTGCGAATTCGCCCCGGGTACTGGTTGCATCCATGAATTTAAAGGACGCGTACATTCACATTCAGACAGCAGCGCATCACAGAGCAGGGACACCAGGCCCGCGACCGCTGCTGCCAGGAGCCGGATGTGCGGAGAAAAGTGTAAAGGGACCCGGGAAGAGGCACCAAAAAAAAGAAAAAGAAAAAACGGCAAGCGGAGGAACCCGCGCCGTGACTCCCGCCCGCCGTCAGCTGCCAAGCCGTCGTCCTGACAGCCCGGAGAGGAGGGAAGAGTAGCCTACGCGATCGGCCCAGCCCCCAAGCTGTCTCAAAATTGTTCAAATTTGTGTTTGATGTGTGTGTGAGATTATTAAAAAAAATGTATACATGTGCACAAAAGAGCTCTTTCCTCCTCACTCAGTCAATGTAGCGCCGCTGCTCACACATGTTATAGCCGCGCAGCACTCGCCGACGCATCCAACTACCAAGCCGCTATGTCAGTTCCTGAGCGTGTGGAAAACTATTCCGGGAATCTCGCGCTGGTTACTCGGTGTGATAGAGTGTGGGTACGCCCTTGAATTCAGATGCAGACCACCCCGTTTCAACGGCGTGGTGAAGTCTCTAACATTGCCTCGAAATGCCCTGATTCTGAGACAAGAGGTATGCAACCTGCTAGAAAAAGGAGCGGTAGAACGAGTCCCTCCGAGCGAGCTGGAGAGCGAGTTTTACAACCGCCATTTTATGGTGCCCAAGAGAGATGCAGGACTACGCCCGATTCTAGATCTCAGGCCCATCAACAGAGCGCTCTGCAAGCGTGCGTTCAGGATGATAAAACAGATCCTGGTGCGAATTCGCCCCGGGTACTGGTTGCATCCATGAATTTAAAGGACGCGTACATTCACATTCAGATAGCAGCGCATCACAGACGCTTTCTGAGATTTGCTTTTGAGGCACAGCGTACCAGTACTCTGTTCTCCCGTTTGGGCTGGCTTTGGTCCTGTGCATTTTTTTGAAGAGCATGGACGCAGCTCTCACCCCCCTTAGAACGAGCGGGATGCGCGTTCTCAATTATTTGGATGACTGGCTGATCTTAGCTCAGTCACGGGACACACTATAGACAGCCATATAGACAAACTGTTTCGTCACTTGGAGTTCTTGGGGCTATGTGTGAATGTGCGTAAGAGCATTCTCGCCCCGAGTCAGTCTAACGTATCTGAGAGTGTGCTTCTCTCGGGAGCGCTCGGCAGCCATTTTGTCTTCCCTGCACCATTTCAGACTGGGCAGCTCTGATCACTTGAAGTAATGTCAGAGGTTGCTGGGACTCTTGGCAGCGTCATCAGTATGTCATCTGGGTTTACTACACATGCGCCCGCTGCAGTTATGGCTGAAATCTCAAGCCCCTTGGACGGCGTGGACTTCGGACCGTTTGCGCATTGCAGTCTGCATCGAAGCCCTGAGGTCGTGGCGCAAAGATCTCCTCAGCCGGGGGGGGTTCCTCTGGGCTTGATGACGTCACGTGTCGTGGTCACGACGGATGCGTCGACTCGCGGATGGGGAGCAGTGTGTGAGGGCATGTGGTCAGAACCACAGAGCCGGTGGCACATAAACCGCTTGGAGCTGGAAGCAGTGTTCTTAGATCTAAAGGATTTACGGCCGCAGCTGGAACAGAGACATGTACTGATTCTCACCGACAACGTCTGTGGTGTCGTACATAAATCACGAAGGGGGCGTACGATCCAAGGCTCGGTACAAGCAGGCAGTAAATCTCCGGCTATGGAACGCCCGCTGCAGTTATGGCTGAAATCTCAAGCCCCTTGGACGGCGTGGACTTCGGACCGTTTGCGCATTGCAGTCTGCATCGAAGCCCTGAGGTCGTGGCGCAAAGATCTCCTCAGCCGGGGGGGGTTCCTCTGGGCTTGATGACGTCACGTGTCGTGGTCACGACGGATGCGTCGACTCGCGGATGGGGAGCAGTGTGTGAGGGCATGTGATCAGAACCACAGAGCCGGTGGCACATAAACCGCTTGGAGCTGGAAGCAGTGTTCTTAGATCTAAAGGATTTACGGCCGCAGCTGGAACAGCGACATGTACTGATTCTCACCGACAACGTCTGTGGTGTCGTACATAAATCACGAAGGGGGCGTACGATCCAAGGCTCGGTACAAGCAGGCAGTAAATCTCCGGCTATGGAAGGACCGTCACTTTCTCTCCATCAGAGCAGCGCACATCCCCGGTCTCCTGAACCGCGGGGCGGACATGCTTTCGAGGAAGGGGATTCCTCAAGGAGAGTAGAGGCTGCATCCCGAGTCGGTTCGGATGATTTGGACCCGCTACGGGAGAGCGGAGGTGGATCTGTTCGCCACGAGCGAGAATGCGCACAGCCCGCTGTTCTTCTTTCTGTCTCTCACTCCCGGCTGGAAGGGGACACTCTGACATCGCACTGGCCAGCAGCCAGGCTGTATGCGTTCCTCCGATCAAGATAGTGCAGCTGGTGATATGCAAGATCAGGGAGGAGGAGGCTTCGGTGACACTCATCACCCCGAACTGGCCGAACCAGCCTTGGTTCCCGGACCTGACAAAGCTGCTGGTGGCGCCGCACTGACCATCTGACTGCTTAGTAGGGATTGTGTTTTTCAGCAATAGTGTGCACCCTTAATTTACAGAGCAAAGAAGGTCAGGGAAAATCTGTAGATGGAAAAATCCAAAAGTTCTTTGTGCATTTTTCTTTTTTTTCTACTTGTTACTTTGCACTTTTTGTTAGAAAATGTTTAGTTACTATTTATTCAAGTTTTTTAAGGTATCTAATATTTTGATACTTAATTTCCATGATCTAAATATTCTTAAAAATTAAAAGTTTGTTGTCATTTGGAAGTGTGTGGTCTTCTTGCATTATTACGCTGTTACATTATGATTATATAATTAGTGACATAAAATGGTCTTTAAAATGACAATAATATCGCTTATCGCAATTATTTCTGGGGCAATATATCGCACAACAAAAAGTTGTTATCGTGACAGGCCTAATCATGTGTGGCTGCTTCGGGGATATCAGAGGAGCTGACCACCCTGCATTCTCGTGTGCTTGATACACTCTCGGAGGCGCGAGCGCCCTCCACGAGACATTTCTATGCTCTAAAATGGGGAGTGTTTGTGGTGGCGTGATGTTCATATCGACCCGGCTGCTTGCTCCATGTCGGATGTTCTGCGTTTTCTACAGTACAGGCTTGATAGTGGATGTCTACCATCAACACTGGCCGCTACTGCCTCGTTTCGTTCCCCGCTGGGCGGGCAATCGATCGGTAGGCACGTGCTGGTGGTGAGTGTTCTTAAGGGGGCGAGGAGGTTGCATTCCCCTCGTCCGCCTTCAGTTTCGCCCTGGGACCTAGCTGTAGTGTTAAGAGCTCTTTCACAACCACCATTCGAGCCTTTAGCATCCATTGCTATGAAGGAGCTATCTCTCAAACTGCTCTTCTTCTTGCCCTCACTTCGGCTAAGCGCATAGGAGATTTACATGCGTTTTCTGTGGATAGCGATTGTATTAGCTTCGGACCCGGTGACCGAGCTACGTGCCTAAATCACTATCTACCCCCCTTCAGACAGTTTCGCTGTCTGCCCTGTCCTCTGAGTCACCAACCTCGCGTGATGCGGACGATCAGATTTCGGTGTGCCCCGTCAGGGCTTTGAGGATTTTCATTGACCGTTCGGCCAGCTTTCGGCAATCTGACCAGCTTTTCGTGTGCTACGGTGGTTGTGCGAAGGGCCTGGCCGTGTCAAAAAGGAGGCTTTCCCACTGGATTGTGGACGCTAACACGGCTGTTATACGAGCCAAGGTTTGGAATATCCTTTGCACATTAGGGCCCACTCAACAAGCGCCATCGTCATTTGGATTTGTAGATAAATCACTAAAACAAAGTAAAGTATATGAATCAGCGGCAGAAATCACTGACATCTTCATGAACACTTTGTCGCCAAGCTGCAAATTAAACAATGTTATCAAATGCAAACATAGTAACATAACTGCTGTAATAATATTTCAACAACAACAAATGACGATTCATACAATAAATAATGTATAACTTTGAAAGTGCATGTAGCTTGATTGCTAAACACAATAAAATTCCCGTTATACAGTTGGGAAACGATGATGCAACTTACCACATTCAATGTGAAACACAATTTCATCTCTGACTTTAAACATCACGAACTTTTCCAACTTTTCCCTGCGGTATTTTTGCTGTTTTCATACTTTTCGTAACTTCAGTCCCGCTCTTGGTCAATGATACTCCAAAACATCTTGAGACCGCAAACACATCTGGCCACGTATGTAAAGAAAACTACAAATACCATAGGCCACATTCTCACCATACGGCCTTTAAAGGGATTTGTAGTTTTTTAAGAAACACAACCTAGTTGACTTAACGACTCCCGTCCCAGTGTGAAACTACATTTCCCACAATTCCAGAAAACCCGGAATCACAGTTCCCGTAGTCCTGGCCGTATGTACTGCCTGTTTCCTGCAGCAGAGAAGGAGGTGGTGTCGAGAGACTGGCAAGATCCAACAACATCGCAACTTCAACCTCAACCAACACCACTATACAATGAAATTATCATCAATAATACCCGCTGCCGAACTGCACTACTTCACCCTCCTGCTGGTATGTGGCTGAGTAATCCCGTGCTCTTTCAGTAACACTCTTCTCCAGGTTTACTTGCAATAGCTAGCTCATATAACGCTAGCTATTGGAAGGGTTTTATGGACTTGGATGTGATGCTCTTGATTAACATCGGTAATTAACGGGTTATTATAATAAGGTCTCCAGATTTGGAAGAACGGGTGACTTTAACTATGACACTTCTGAATATGTCAATAGGTTTAATGGCCTGTGATGAATGTAGGTTAGCTGCAGAAAGTGCTAGACAGCTGGCTAATGTGGCTAACCAGCTATTAAGAGTCACCGGACTTGCAGCTGCAAGTATGGGACGTTTTGAGAGTTTATAGTCTGTTGGCCAACTATTCCCATTTAATGTACAACCACACTCTCATATAAACATGCCAACTTATATGATTCATTTAGAGTGTTTGCAAGCAAACTAAGAGTCATTCAATCTTACGACCTTTATTTTAAGCAGTTTCAAATACAGTGTTGAAAGGGCCAGGAGAGTTTTGCTCTCTAGTGTAGTGTAGATGAATAAGAAGGCACCCCGTCATTAACAACGCAAGTTTGGGAACTTTGCACGGGTTTTAAATGATAACTGCAACTTGTTGGAATAAACAAATGTTTGAGGTGCTTACAAGTATCTTACTCTCATTCATAGTTGTGACAGCGTTTAATGTGAGCCTATTCAATACGGAAAGTCCTTTAACAAATGAATTAAGCACTTGAACTCGGGATTTACAATAGGAGCTATATAATTATCAGATGTCAACAGTGGTCTTTATAGTCCTAAAGTAAAGAGAGGGATATTTTGGTATTAATTTCATCCAACTTTGCAGTGAAGAAACCGGTTGGTGAACGTCTCTGTTGTGGCCGAATCCTATTGGCTGTCAACCCGGAAGTGACCCGCGCAGCACAGCATGATGTGAAAACCACAGCAGCGGTATCCTTGCTGCCTGTGTGGTACATTTAAACATTTAACCTTTTAATTTCTCTTGGGTTGTATTTTAGTAGGGCCAGCATACTGGTTCATGGTCATAAATGTTTTGACTTTGTGAAAGTAATATCTAGCAGAGGTAGTTAGCTTGTGATTGACCTCTGAGAGCTTCTGTTTGTCTTTTATTAATCATTTCAATAACATGAGTTAAAATGCTTGTAATTCCAACTCATTTTATGTCACAGTGCATAATTGTGTGATATAGTTCATTCCTCACTCTGATATTGTTTCAAAGCAACTTCATGATAGCAATAACTACATAAACCCACTTTTGCCTGATAAGGGCGAAAAAGCAGTGTGAAGCATTACTGATTTATGATTTCAACCCATTTTAATAAATGTCATCACAAGTCATTCTCACACATGTCTACTAGCTACATAACACTACTTTGATGACATATTTAAAGTAAGTAGCGACATATATCTTCCATATTTTTACGTACACTCGAGTGTAACAGATTCTCAAAAAGAAAATATCTATAGCATGCATATAGAAAATAAATAGGGTGAATTTTCATTTCATGCCATCTTTAAATAAAAGGAATTTTTGCCATATTTTTACCATAAAAACGTATATAAAAGTAAAGGCCCATTCTCACCAAGGACGGTAACTATAAGTTATAACTATATCATTTTAATTCTGTGAGAATTGTGAAGTCCAAACCACAGCTGGAACAATAGTATGAATCATTGTCAGAGCAATTTTAAGTTTACAATTTTAAAAAGCTCAATCATTTAAAGCAGCAGATCATCTGCAGTGAGCTTTAATAATATACAGAATTGTATTGAATTTTTATTGAATTTTATTGGTGTGGACCGGTCATTCTTTGTGTGAATGGACCTTAAGTCTTTCAGCAACCCTGTACTTGTAGCTTTACTTATGAACTGAGACTGCAGCATACAATTGAAAAATATTCTGGAACTTCAGGAACTGGACTCTAAAAATGTTCATTTACTTGTAGAACCTGCTGATCAAACCTGTTTGTTTGTCTGAGTAGAAACTCCCCATATTAGAGCTGGGAAACGCTTTGTGATGAATCTCGTTAAGAAATGGATATGCATGTGTCCAAATTTGTTTACCGAAAACACGCCATATGTTGGGTCTAGCTATGATTTTGTACTTTGCGATCTGAGCGGTTGAGATCAGCCCATGTGGAGCCGTGTGTTTGTTTAGTTTCTGTGGCTGTGTTGTGACAGTTGGAGACTTGAGTTGTCTGAGAGATTAGCCAGTGAATTTAGGCAGTGTTGTTTAGCAGATGCCAGTTTTGTTGAGGAGGATCACATATGCCTTGGTGTGTGTGTGTTTGATATTGTTTAGTTCTGAACGTTTTTCTTCTTCCTATAATAGTCTCAGTATCCGATCATGGACTTTAAGACAGCTAGTGTGAGGAGCTCTGCATCATATAATTTACATTCAGTCAGTCTTGCCGTTCACAGTGTACTTGTCAAGTTAGTCTGTCTCACAGTGTTTATTTAATGAGGTGTAAAGATGTCTATAGTCTAGCATTATTCCTGTCTTCAGGCTATCTTTGATGCAGTGAGTCAAACAGGAACAGCAGACTCATGCAGCCAGCCAGCCTCTTTAACATGTGGCATTATCAAATCCATTTATCACATATGTTAGATAGCCACGTTACTTAGCTTCAATGAACTTTGGTAGTGATATGATCTTTCAGAGTAATAACACAAAACATATACGTATTTGCTAGATTACTCATACCACCTAGAATCAGCCAGAGTAATATCATCACATGGCTAAAGAAAATGGCAAAAGTCCAAACTACATTTTGTTACGTTGTTCTTTGTTACAGAAAGGCAAGTCTGTCACAATTATGGAACTTTTTTCTGCAAGTAATTGTTATGATAAAAGAAATTAATTGTGTGTTTTGCTCATGTCAGTTACAGTGCTTGCGTAATCCACATATATCTTAAGACACCATTTATGAACTAAAATTGTAAACATATAATATGTATATTATGAATATAATGTAACATTTCAAGTCTTCAATTACTTTAAGTAATATGTGTGTAGATATGACTAAAATGCTCTAAATATTAAAGTACATCATGTAGTAGTAGTATTATTACAAAAAATATGGTAATACTATTCATTTAGTATAAAAATGATGTGTATTGCACATGTATCAGACAGACCAATGATATGACTGACTATGATCTGTGTATATATGTTCATTTAAGCAAAAAAGCTTTTCTGTATTTTATCAAAATTCCCTTATTTGAGTAGTAGTATGTGATTGGAATTGAAAGTGCACTGCACAATGATCACAGTTAGATTAGATTATGGGAGTTTATCAGTTTTCACTGTTTCTAAGTAACAGTGAGGCTTAAATGTACTTTCCTATTAAAGGGGGCTTTTGGGAAAAAATTGAGAAATAGAAAATGATTTGTTTCAAAAGGATATCTTAGGTAAAACATCTTTTGTTGATAAGAGACTTAGGACTCATTCTTATAGCTACTAGACACTAGTAGCTATAAGACTTTAATCTTTAATCTAGGGCTGCACAATTAATCGAATTTCTAATCGTGGTTACAATTACGGATGCCACAATTACGTAATCGTTCAAAGCAGCAATTAATCATTTAAAGTCCACTTATGTTATTCTGCGTCCTTAAGATGTTTTTTTCTTTCTACAGGTTATTGTAAGAGTTTTCCCATTGTTTTAATTTTAGTTTTAATATAACATTATAATTATTATAATTTTTTTCTTTTATTATTTAAAGAAGAAACCAAACCAATGTACATGTGACATTTGAGGCTTAGGACTATAGAAAAGCAATACAAGTTTTTCAGTTTGAGTGTTTTCAGCTTGTTTAAATTGTGATAATCGTCATTAATAATCGCATACAAGTTCAAAGGAATAATCGACAATTATGATTTTTGTCATAATCGTGCAGCCCTACTTTAATCTAAGAGTCCAGTGGTAAATCAATATGATAGATAATTAAATATATGTTCGACTGTCACAATTGTTTCAAGCACATTTTGCTTTTACTTATTTAGCAATAGGGTATTGATTATTTAATATAATACGGTGTGGATAGATGCAAAGATGAAGTAAAATTCAATAGATGTTAGCAGCAATAGAGTTGCACACTTCAAATGGGCTTTACAAACTGCCACACTATAGTCAGATGGAACAGGTCAGCAAAGATTCACTTTCCATTTGTTAATTAATATCCCATTTCTCTCAGAAATTTTTATCTATGAATGACGTGTTAGTTCTTTAATGAGTTTGCATGGACTGATAGCATCAGTTTTCCTGTTTGTCATTCAAATAAACGACATCCCAGTCGGCTTTTTGATATTTGCATATGTGTTTTTTGTTTAATGCTAATTCGATGGTGATGTTATTCGCATAAGGTTTCCCTTTTCAGTCCTTTGGTACTTTGCTCAGTTATATTTGTATGAACATAAATATATTCAACAACTGTGACGTAAACTGAACAAGTTTCACAGACATTTGGTGGACAGAAATTGATTAATTTAACAAATTTGGGGTATAAAAACCTTTTGACCTTCTTTTTTTACTGCCTGTAACTGTCCGTGTCTTAAGGCCCGTTCCAAAGTTCCATGTGCAGTATTTGTTTGTCTATTTGTTTACTTTTTATAAAAAAAAGAAACTGTTATTTATTTGTAAGTAGGGATGTAACGATTAACCGCGAGCCGGTTGAAAATCGATTCAAATATGTGACGATTCAAATCGGTTGAGATGCTAAACAAATCGCGATTAATTTAGGTGTAGGAGTTTATAAGAATCCATTTCTGAGGGGAACTTACTGTCTTTAGAAAAGTTTGATGGTATTTTTTCTTTTCATCTTGCCTCTGTATAATGCATATTAAAGTTCATAAGTGCAGCGCTGCTTTGTTTACAGCGGAAACCAAGGAAACGCTTTAAGCGCCACCTGCTGGCAGAGAGTGAATCTGCATCTCATTCAGCTCGTCCGCTGTTTCATGCAGATATTTTTATATATAGTTTCACCAAACTGAAGTCAAACCATTCTGTTTTTGCTTCAAATTTCGAAATTATACAATCTAATTTAGATTAAAAACTGCTCATGTTGCATGTATGCAGCATCTTTGTTTGGATCATGATTCAAATGCAGTGGTTGCCTCTCATTTTAAATGGAAGAGCACAGACAAAGCCTTATTTTGTTTATATGAAGAGATTTATTTGATTTGGTGCTTGTTTTAAAATTTCAATTTCGTTTTGTTATTTACATTTACATTATATTTCAATTTTGTTATTTAGCAAACGCTTTTGTCCAAAGTGACTTACAAATGAGGACAATAGAAGCAATCAAAACCAACAAAAGAGCATATTATTGCGCTTTTGTTGGTTTTGATTGCTTCTATTGTGTAATCAAGTGCTATATTAGTATTATTATAGTGTTATATTTCTATTTCACAAAGAAATGTGCAGCATTTTGTCCAAGCAATAATAAAAGGACACATTTAATTTATAATTTGTCTTAAATCTCATTTTGTAAAAAAATTTATTAAAAAAAAATCGTATCGTGAAATCAAAATCGTGAATCGAATGGAATCATGAGTTGAGTGAATCGTTACATCCCTATTTGTAAGAAACCTTAAAGGGTCCAAACTTAAAAATGCTCTGTGATTTGTGTTCCCCATATTTCCGTGTTGTTGACTTAATTCAAGAAATATTTCAAATGCCACACACAGTTCTGCAAAAGAATAAAAAGGCATTCTAAACAAAGTTATGGTAATAATTTTAGTTGAGGTTTTAAAATGATGCATGAGTCTCAACAGATGTTTAATAGACCGTTTGTATATCTATATTTGAATCGCTTACATCACTAATAATTCCGCTTATTCCAATTATTTCTTAACTGAAGGCTTGTCTAGTTTTCGTTTTCGACCCTGCATTAAAGCAGGTGTTTTGTATAAGATTATAGATGATCAATATGACTGTCCAAAGATAATGGTGTGTCACTGTTACTGGCATACAAACAGTTTACCAATGAAACACCTCTATTGTTGGCAGGTAACAGGTCTGTATACTCCAGGACGAGGAGAGATCACCAGTCTGGATGCTGGAAACATAGATGACATCCTCAGTGAGTTCCTACCCTGTTTATTTGTGCCTTTGAAGGAGGCTGTTTCATCAGTAGTTTCAATCAGACAGTTACTGCACCTGTGTCGTGAACGTGGGTGTGAGTTATCTAATGGTGCTTTGTCATTGCAGCCGATCAAATGAAATTAAACCACATGTTTCTCTCCACAGACAGTGCAGGGGTGGCTCTAGTCAACTTCTATGCAGACTGGTGAGTGTTCCAGATGTGTGTTGGTTAGAAAGGGTCATGAGAGCTGTTGATTTTCTTTGTGTGCTGGTTCCCCGTATGGGTAGATGACAAGAATAGGGTTAGTTCACCCAAAAATGAAAATTAGCCTGTGTTTTACTCACCCTCGAAGCATCCTAGGTGTATGTGACTTTCTTCTTTCAGACGAATCCAATCGGAGTTATATTAAAAATTGTCCTGGCCCCTCCAAGCCTTACAATGGGGGTAAGCGGGTGTTGGTTGTCAACAGCTCAGAAGACGTTAAATAAAGTGCGCACATCCATAATAATACGTCCCTCACATGGCTCCGGGGGGTGAATAAAGGCCTCCTGTAGCGAATCCATGCGTTTTTGTAAGATAAATATCCATATTTCAAATGTAATAAACACTTTTCTCTCACTTCTGCTGACTGTGGTACGCGGAAGACATTCAGGCGGATGATGGAAGACATATGCGTCGTGCGCGCGCCTCTCAGAAATGCAGGAGCAAAGGAAACAAAGTTTCCTTACTTTAGCAAAGGAAAACCAGTCTCCTCTTGGCTTATATCGAAATCCTCTGACATTTTTCTTTACAAATCCTCGTTTTGTGCTTCTAATTCGTGAACGGGGTGTTTTGTTTTGTTCTCTCTCCGCGTTCGTCACTAATCACGCAACGCCGACGTACTACGTCATCACGAAGTGAGAGAAAAGTGTTTATTACGTTTGAAATATGGATATTTATCTTACAAAAATGCATGGATTCGCTCCAGGAGGCCTTTATTCACCCCCCGGAGCCATGTGAGGGACGTTTTATTACGGATGCACACACTTTATTTAACGTCTTCTGAACTGTTGACAACCGAACAACATTGTAAGGCTTGGAGGGGCCAGGACAATTTTTAATATAACTCCGATTGGATTCGTCTGAAAGAAGAAAGTCACATACACCTAGGATGCTTCGAGGGTGAGTAAAACACAGGCTAATTTTCATTTTTGAGTGAACTAACCCTTTAACTAAGTTGACTTGTCCTGAGGATGATGATATAACAAAAAGCTTTTTGATGGTGATGTATTAGGGTTGTAACAATACACGATTCAGTTTGATACACAATACTGATATCACAATACAATACACTCACAAGACTGTTGTGTTAAAAAATAAAATGGTAGGGGTTCTTTTTTTGGATTATTAGTTCTAGGACGTATAATAAACAGCTAGCAAAAAGTACTGCTCATTAACCAAAATAGAAATATTCCTGATTCTGCTTAGCTAAAAATACTGAATTGTTAGAAATGTATGCTCGTATTCGGTCCCTGACTACGTACATTGAAAATGTTTTATATATTGTATTGTATTAAATAATGTATTTTATTTTTTATGTATTAATAATAATGAATTCAATAAAGATGGAAGTTCAAATTTTATATTTGATATGCTCTTAATATGTGGATCATTGTTTATATGTTAATATAATCTGTCTAAACTTTCATTTTGGGGTGAACTACACACAATACATATTGTCGTTATCCATGATACATAATGTTGCATTTTTGTATTGCGATATATTGTGACACGATATCTTCTTACACCCCTAGATAATAATATTATTATTATTATTATTGTTCAAATAGCTTTATTGATCTTATAGTAAAATGAGAAAATAGCACTTTATTGATATAGTAAAATGGTCTAAAAGTGAATAAAAATCTAATTTTTTTAAAAAGAAATTGTGAGCATTTATAGGATCTGAAAAATACACTTTAAACAAAATGCAAAGTAGTGGGATCTCATATCAGCACGAAGAGGTTTATCTTATGCCTGGTTTACATGACATTTTATTGAACAAACCTGAAATGAAAAAAGAAATACTTGCACTAGCATCTCGTAATTTAAAGTATCTGTATCCAGTACTGAGCTCATTTTATTTGTGTGTATTTTCTGCAGGTGTCGTTTCAGTCAGATGCTCCACCCCATCTTTGAGGAGGCGTCCAATATAGTGCGGGAAGAATTTCCAGACACTACACAGGCAGTGTTTGCCCGGGTGGACTGTGACCAGCACTGTGAGTTTATACACACACACACACACATTGGTTTAGCCTTTGAGATAAAGCAAATTAAACAGAATTATTGATGTCTTGTAAAGTGTTTGATGGTTTAATGACAAAACTGCATCTTCTGTGAAGTCAAGGCGGCTCAAAGATACCCCACAGTGTGGGTGTGTGTGAGCGAGAGACGGAGCATTACTGATTCCAGCCGATCAGCTTTGGAGTATTTACCCCCCACATCAGTTGACTTTCATGTCTCGGCCCCTCCCCCTTTCTTTCTTGCCTTCTCTTTCGTTTTTTCTCTACTTTCTTTAGTTCTTTCCCTTTATTTGGCTCTGTACTTTGACTGGAGTCCATTTTTCTCTTTAAAATGAGACTACCCACGACCTCTGACCTTTTGATCTTTCTCTCTCATAACCTAAAAAGCTAAATATTCATGGACTGACCCATATTTTGTTCTCCAAAGTGCAAAGGATCTCCAAGGTTGAAGTGTTTTTCTACATTTGGGTCCTAAAACTCACCTTTCTATGTATTATAGTAATGTCTAAGTGTGACCGGAAAAAGTCATGTCACCTCATTTTGTTGGGTTTCATTGATTTAAAAACACCTTTAGATATTCAAATGACATCTATAACGTTCACTACCATTCAAAAGCTTGGGGTCAGTTAGATTTTTTTTTAGAGCTGTTAATACTTTTATTCATCGGTGATGAACTAGATTGGCCAACAATGACAGTAAAGACTATTTCACATAAATGCTGTTCTTTCTATTCATCAAAGAATCCTGAAAAAGCTGACCAGTTTCCACAAAAATATTTTTCTGTTTTCAACATTGATAATAATAAGAAATGTTTCTTGAGCAGCAAATCAGCATATTAGTATGATTTCTGAAGGATTGTGTGACACTGAAGACATCACAGGAATAAATTACATTTTAAAATACATCGTAATAGAAAACCATTATTTTGGTAAAAACAATATTACTGTTTTTAATGTATTTCTGATCAAATAAATGATGCAGCCTAGGTGAGCATAAGAATCTTCTTTAATAAACATATACAAATCCTACCAACCTCAAACTTTGAATGGTAGTTTAGCTGATATAAAAGAGTTATTGAGTTATTTTTTGTTTCCACTGATAGCTGATATAGCCCAGCGCTACAGGATAAGCAAATACCCCACACTGAAGCTGTTCAGGAATGGGATGATGATGAAGCGAGAATACAGAGGTCAAAGGTCAGTGACCGCCATCGCTGATTTCATCCGCCAGCAGAAAGTGGATCCAATTAAAGCGATAGAAAATCTGGAGGAAATCAGCACTATAGATGTGAGTGTTTCACAATCACAATACTATACAGTTTTCTTTCTGTAGCACGTTTAAAATGTCTTCCCAAAGTGCTTTTTAGGTGCAGTGACTAAGAATGATCGCTGTGTCATCTCAATGTCCTTCCTTCTCTTTCAGAGGAGTAGACGCACTATCATTGGTTACTTTGAAAAAAGGGACTCTGACAATTACCGTACTTATGAGAAAGTGGCCAACATCCTGAGAGATGACTGTGTTTTCCTGGCAGCTTTTGGGTAAGAGAAGCACTTAAGATACTTAAAGTCAGCATGACGTGATAATTCACAGAACCTGTTTTCTAAGTGCATGCTACTGATTTTATTATATGCATGGGTGAATAGTTCATGTTTTTATTTTTTATTAATTTGTCATAATTCGATCTTCCAGTGAAATGACACTGGAAGTCCCAGTCCTTTGGGCCTTGAAAGGGGTAAAAACCTATAGGTTTAAAATGTTGAGTATAGTGTGTGAATAAATAATGACAGAATTTTCAGTTTGGGTGAGCTAGGCAAGACACTACAGGCAGTACTGATCAGTTTTGAGATGTTGGCCTATTTTGCTTTCATAACGTGTATTCTTTCAGACTAGTGGAAAGAAAACATCCAAAATACACATTTAAGTGTTTATTTTAGTACACTTTATCTATTTGTGTCTGTAGATTGTGTCAATTACAAATCATATATTTTCCTCTGCACTGAGATTCTGATTTTTGTACTTGAGATTTATGCAAATGAATGCATATTCTATTAGATAATGCATTGTTTGTGTATTTACACATAGCATTAGAGAAAACGTAATATAAAAGTTTTCTTAATGTACTGTGAATAATCAGCTGGGGAAGTATGGTGATATCAACTAGGCCTAGTTAAAATGTTTACCCTAATATTCACCTGTAATTTCCTTAACTTAAATCAAGTCAGTCCGACCTCATTTTTCTATTCCTTTCTCGTTTTTTACAGGGAAGTTTCTAAGCCTGAGCGGTTCAGTGCTGATAATATTATTTATAAGCCAATGGGAGAGAATGCTCCTGACATGGTCTACATGGGCTCACTCACAAATTTTGACCTTAGCTACACCTGGACACAAGACAAGTGTGTGCCGCTTGTCCGAGAAATCACATTTGAAAATGGAGAGGTATGCTTTCCTTTCTCAAAATATCTTTTTGTGTGTGTATAAGAGGTAGCGCATGTACATTTTGTCCGCATTTGTTATTTGTGTACATCTAACAGTCGAAAAACGATATCATCATTTGCATAAGAAAAGTCCCCTCCCCCTCAGTGTACTTTTCCCACACTCGAGCACATCTGACTGTGTACGTTTCAAGTGTGTTTGTGTTTTAAAGTCGTCCGCATGCCATGTCCTTTAGTGGGTGTGGGTTTTTTCTTTGATTTACTTGACCGCATGTTTTGAATATCTTCGGTCTCTGTTGCTCGGTGATAGAGCAGATTCTCCACAATCTGCTCCACTGACCCACCTCTGCCCAACTGCACTTCACCCAAACATCCTACACACTCTCAAAACTCATTAGAGCGCATTTTGTTTCTGGTCCTCAAATCAGAGAAATGTTCCATCAGTGCTAATATATTGTATAACAGAAATGGGACTTTTTACTGTTTGTGATTAGAATTTGTTTGTGTGTGTGTGTGTGTGTGAAGGAACTGACGGAGGAGGGCATCCCGTTCCTGATCCTCTTCCATCAGAAGGACGACACAGATAGTCTGGAGAAATTTCAGCAAGAAGTGGCTCGCCAGCTTATCAGTGAAAAGGGTATGCATAGGGATCAGAAAGGGTCACGGGCGGGTCAATATTTAATCATTTTAATAAAACTATTAAATAAAACAATTAATAAAAGCCACTCATAGAACTCGCACCTTTACATGTATTCACTTTGGCTATGGAGTCATGCATTGCAGGTTTCCTCTTACCGGCTCACACCATCAGCATTGCTTTTCAAGACATTAGGGGCTTTGGCACTGGAGGAACCTTTTCATAGTTCCTAGAACTATTGGCGGAAGTACCCACTTTTTGGCGTGCTTGCACCGCAGGAACTAGGAACGTATTTAGTTCTAGGAACTCTGTTTGGGGGAACTAAATTAGCTCCTACTTCAGAGTAGGGTCTGAAACTGTTCTATAGGAACTACCAGTGAAGAAAATGTACGCTGATTGGCCAAACGCATATGAAACACCCCAGCCTTTTAAAAAATATTTACTCCACGAACATGGAAAACAGCGATAATGGCATTTAGCTACCTGTTGTCTGTAGCATTGTGCTCTTTTCTCAGCCTCGATGATATGTAACACTGCAAGTTGTCATAGGAGATTTAGTCAGATTTTCATGCTCTTTCAGTTGTGTAAATTGTGCATTTACATTCCATCGAAACCCGACACACAACAAAAACAGCTCAGATCACAACATCCTCCATTAACCAGTTGACTCGAACCCTCGACCTTAGAGTTACAAGTCTGACTCTCTAACCATTAGGTCATGACTGCCAGTGCGAATGCAACCAGGAAAATAGCCCGAGGGGGAAATTGGTTCTCTAGGAATGACCCTGCTGGCTAGTTCCTTCAACTGAGTTCCTAGAACTACGTGGTGTGAAAGCCCCTACAGTACTGAGTTCAGGGCTGCCTCTCCCAAAAGTATTGTAAGCCTATATAATGCAAGTGTGTGGACCTTTTTAAACTCTATGGTTTCTGAGCAACTGTCATATGTGTGTTCGCTTGACATAACCACAGTATGTTGTGAAGCATGATGTAAAAAAGCATTGTTGTTAAAGTGACAGAGAAACATAGGACCAACACTTTCACAATGCAATGTTGTTTACATCATGTGAACACTAGTTGACCGGTAGTGATGATTTATAGTTTAAAAACACACTCTTTTAATTCACTTCAGAAAACATCGATTTTATCACGTATGGATTATCGCTGTTTGTTTTGTGTGTTTTTTAAGGCATCAGCTTCGCCATGTACACTCCCATTATGTGGAATATAGTAATGGATTATTTTTATGCAAATATTTGTGTTCAGTTGAAGAAAGAGTAACGTACATCTGGGATGGTATGACAGTGAATCCCTTTAAAGGGATAGCTCACCCAATAATGAAAATTACTCGCGCTCAAGTTGTTCCAAGACCTTCATTCATCTTTAGAAAACAAATTCAGGTATTTTTGATGAAATCCGAGAGCTTTCTGACCCTGCATAGACAGCAATGCGACTACCATGTTCAAGGCCCAGGAATGTAGTAAGGACATTGTTAAAATAGTCCATGTGACATCCGTGGTTAAAACTTAATTTTATGAATCTACGAGAATACTTTTTGTGTGCAAAGAAAACAAAAATAAGTAAAAGTATTCTCGTAGCTTCATAAAGTTATGGTTGAACCACTGATGTCACATGGACTATTTTAACAATGTCCTTACTACATTCCTGGGCCTTGAACATGGTAGTCGCATTGCTGTCTATGCAGGGTCAGAAAGCTCTCGGATTTCATCAAAAATATCTTTATTTGTGTACCGAAGATGAACAAAGGTCTTGCGGGATTGGAACGACATGAGGGTAATTAATTTTCAGACAGAATTTTAATTTTTGGATGAACTAACTCTTTAAGATTAATCATAATGTATTATTAAATTAATTAATTAACCCACCAACTAGTCGATTTTGAAAATGCATTTTTTTTTTCTCCCACATCCCTGATGCAAATAGTTTTGATGGCCAAAAATGGTGTTTAGACACAGTCAGTATCTACAACACCTCTAAATTTACCTTTTCTCTCAGGTTCTATAAATTTTCTTCACGCCGATTGCGATAAGTTCCGGCACCCTCTGCTGCACATTCAGAAGACCCCCACCGACTGCCCTGTAATTGCCATCGATAGTTTCCGCCACATGTATGTCTTCCCAGAATTCAGCGACTTTGCGTAAGTATGGGACTTGTCCATGTGTATTTATTGCAGTGATTCCTTGAGCCTCCTATCTGCAGGTTATGTCTTGTTCCAGACACCTACCAATTAAACAACGATTGTAGACTCGGCCCACAGCAACACACACTGAGAGAGTGATAGAGAACGGGCTTTGGGCTTCATCTCTCAGCCAGTTATGCCAATTAATTTAGCAACACCTGACTGATAGCTGTAATGTGTGTGAACATAGTAGCGTAGTTTTCAAAGGTAATTATTTATGACACCAGAGGCCGTACATGACAGAAAGCATCATAATTCAGCGCATGCCTTATTTTATTAAGCACTCTGTATATCCTATTATCCAATAAGGGCCTTATCAGCCTGCCTCTGGTCAGTCTTTGATACAGCTGATTGTCCAGGGGGTCGGTGGCGTCTGGGACAGTACAGATGATGTCATTATCTTGTTAAAATGCTGTGGTTTTGGAGACTGTCGGCTCTCTTGGGGTCTTATCTGTTCACTCATTAAATCAATGAGGCTGCTCGTGTTGTTGTTTGTTTTTTGGACTGTTTTATGATGCTTTGTGTGTATGAACAGGGTTCCAGGAAAGCTGAGGCAGTTTGTTTTGGACCTGCACTCAGGAAAGTTGCACAGAGAGTTCCATCACGGCCCAGACCCCACAGACAGCACTCCAGAACAGGTCCGAGTTCACCACAGCTTCTGCACGGGATTGCTTTTCATTTATAAGAGTGATTTGAGTTGGACCTGCCATAATTTTTTTAATGCGTTTTCAATTTGTAATGAAATTAGGCACAAATATTGATCGATCATGGACACTATAATTGTGTGCCTTTATAAAATCTTATCACCAAAAACTTTTTATATATATATGAGCAATATCACTCGAGTACGAGAGCGATACCAGCTCTATATCAGCGGCTGTGATTAGGCCAGAGGCACGAGGCCGGAGGCAATCACAGCCGCTGATATAGAGCCGGTATCACTCGAGTGATATTGCGTTTATACAACAGTTTGACGGAGCATGTGTGTAATTAAACAAGACACAACGGAGTCCCTAATAAAACCCTCTTTTGTGCGGAACTACTTCCTTCCGCCACGGATTCAAAGCTCAAGTTGACAGTTAAACATAGTCACTTTTAGAATTCGTATCAAGGGCATGTGCTGCTTCAGTTAGGTTATTAGTGAGAAATAATGAGGTTATAAGAGAAACAATGCGGCAAGACGTGCATCCAAATGAGAGAGAGAGAGACCGTGAAGCTAGACGTTTCTTCTTATATTAACTAACGTACTCTATGATTAGCTCAGTGAATAATTTCAAAAAACCATAGACCCGGCTAGAACAAGCGGAGTGATACAAAATTGTGAAAGGGCGTTCCTGTAGCGATACCAGTACAATATCTCACGATTCTCAACCAATCAGATTTGAGAACCAGAACGAACTGATGTATAAATCAGCAATATCACTCGAGTACGAGAGCGATACTGGCTCTATATCAGCATGGCTGTGATTAGGCCAGAGGCACGAGTTTAATGTTTTGTTTATTATTTTGAAGGTTTTTTTCTTAATTTAATACTAATTCAGATTAAATTCCTTTTTATGCACACAATATTTTAAGCTTTTTAAGACCTTTTCTCCTGCCACTCATATGTTAATGAACACTTAATTTATCTTGCAATAATCTTCCTAACAAGGAGATTTTTTTTAAGAAAGTCCAACTAGTTGACACGCTTTCTACAAACACAATGCAACTGATGACCTGTTGAGTTTAAGTAAACGAGTCTCTCAGATCACCAGTAATGTTGTGAAATATTTTAACAATTCATAATAACTGTTGAGTATTACAACGGTTGAGTCCAGTTTTTCAAAAGAACAACATTTATGTAGAATAGAAAATATTTGTGACAATGTAAAGTACTTTACCATCACTGTAGATCAATTTAATGCATCCTTGCTGAATTAAAGCATTAATTTAAGCATCCTTGAGCTATGGAAAGGCGCTATATAGATAAACTTATTATGGTTATTAATATAAAAATATTACTGACCCCAAACTTTTAAATGGTAATGTGTAAAACTACACTTTATATTAGTATCAATACTTGTAATTTCACATGCCATTAATAACAAATTACAGATATAATTTGTAATTTGCACATAACGTCGCATCATCATGTGATGTTAGTTAATCAGCTTCTGTTTGGCCTGTACATATCGAGATGACATTTTGCTCAAAATCAGCGTTGTCCACTTTTCAGCTGATTAAAGTACCCCATTATGACAGGCACTTTCCTCAGGTTGTGAGTTCAGCACACTTCCTGATCCAAATCTCTGAAAAGAACGTGTTCATCTAGACTAATTAATGCAGGCGTACATTAATTAAGAATATGACTGAATGAAACGCACGTGCTGACATTTGAATGCAGATGCAGCAGAATGAACCGGTGGCCTCGGTACAGAGCAATCTGCTGACAGGAACATATCCGTCTAGCTGTGCTTCTCAAAATAATGACTGTGTAAACAGTCACTTTACAGATGCAGGTGATCTGTGGTTATTTATTGGCCTGTTTGTGTGTGTTGCAGCAGGAGGAGAATAGAGAGGTGGCCAGTAATCCCCCAGAGAGTTCCTTCCAAAAATTGGCCCCCAGTGAGACGCGCTACACCATCCTCAGGGATCGGGACGAGCTGTGATGTTACAACCGCATCGAGACCCAACCCAGATCCCAGCAGTCAGCTGATGCCTACCCGGCACTGCCGCTGCCTGCGCAATGTCTATTTTCAGAATTTTTATTTTAGATAAAAAATGTGAGAAGGTGAACCCCTGAGCTTTTTTGGGGTGGGAAATGAAGAGGAGCGTTTTAAATTTTTTTTGGAGCTTGTAAATATGTTTGTGCTCCGTGGGTCTTGTCTAAATTAAAAATATGATTTTTTTTCTTTTCTTTTCTTTTCCTTTTTTTATTTTATTTTGCCCTACGTTTTTGTCTCCCCAGGTCCCTTTTTTGTAGAAAAAAAAAACATTGGTGGTCCTCTTTGTTGAAAAGCAAATTGAGTTTATTATGGATCTTAAGTGCGAGCAAGTGGAATCATGGGGGGAAAAAAGAACAAACCTGCAGTCGACCTGTGGTGTTTCACTCCAGTCTTCAATAGAGCGTGCGCAGAGTGTGTGTGTGCACATGTATGTTACATGTGCTTATTAGTCTGTATTCATGTACTGTACCGTTCCAGACTTGGTTAAATTCACGCTCGCTAAGATCCAGACTCGTTAGTCTCATATCATCCCATTCCACCAGGGGGAGTGGTCAGGGGCGGGGTTAGAGGGGTGGGGATTATTTGTAAATCTGTCATCTCAGAGGGGACAAGGAAACGAAAAGAAGAAGGGTAAATTAAAAAAACCTTTTACAAGATACTATGTTGTCTGTGTTTCATTAAATGTGTTTCACTTTTTTTTACTTTTGCACTTACTAGGTCACATTACATCTGTACATTAAAAGATATTGCATAAAAATTTAAGATAAAAAGTTGTCATTTTAAGCTAATTTTAAAAGATAATCCCAATCAAAATCATGTCAAGTATACAAGGTTCTTCCTGCGTTACATTACTCTAAATAAAATGAGCATCATCTCACAGGCAGGGACGGTCCACCGAAAAAAGTATATTGTCACCATCATACTGTATTATTCTCTTTTATCTGTGTAACAAAGATATTTTGAGGAATGATGGTAACCAAACAGTGTCAGTTCCCACTGATTTCTGTTTGTCTGTACATTGGAAGTCAATAGAATCTAAACCGTTAGGTTACCAACGATCTTCAAAATATCTTCTTTTTCATTCCACAGAAGAAAGAAAGTTTGGAATAACACAAGGGTGAGTAATGATTCACTCAGAATTGTTATTGTTGTACAGACTATCCCTTTAAAGGTGTGGGACCTAAAAGATTGTGCATTTTAATCCAAATGTCCTGTTCTAATGATCTAAAGTTGGGGAGCAATGTCACAGACAAAATATTGCCTTGTATAGCACTTCATACTCCATCTGCCCACCAACATTGGGCTGCCCCTCCAACTGTGGCAGACACAGATGACTAAACTGAGATTTAAAAAAAAAAAGGTTTTTAGGTTTAAGATAACATCAAGAAAGTGACCATAAGGTTGCACAAAGGATGTAATTGCTCAAAAAGGCCTGATTTAATCAGTCATGTTTTCTTAAAATTTGTCAATAGTCATTTGATCTTGATGTAACGAAACTACATATGTCCCAAAGTCAACAGGTGGTGTAAACAGACAGTATGTACTCAATGTACTGTAAAAACGATACATTAAAGGGATAGTTCACCCAAAAATGAAAATTTTATGTTTATCTGCTTACCCCCAGGGCATCCAAGATGTAGGTGACTTTGTTTCTTCAGTAGAACACAAACAAAGATTTTTAACTCAAACCGTTGCAGTCTGTCAGTCATATAATGGCAGTGAATGGCTCCACGGCTTTGAGAGTAAAAAAAAACATAGACAAAACCAAATTAAACCCTGCGGCTCGTGACGATACATTGAGGTCTTAAGACATGAAACGATCAGTCTGTGCAAGAAACTGAACAGTATTTATGTCATTTTTTTTACCTCTGATCGACCGCAATGTGCAACTGTCCTGAGCGCGTTTAAAATATCTCGCGCATGACGCGTGTACGTGCTCTGGCATAGTTGGCATAGTAGACATAGATATATATAATAAGATGCCTCATTAGTGACTGTTTCTATGGGCTGTGATACGTTCCAAAATGGCAGACGCGTCAACATATCTGGAGCGGTCGAATAGGGCATCTATACATATCTATGATAGTAGACGCATGTGCGGAAGAGATCTGTCGCGCGTATACGTCACTCATTATTTAAACAGTGCTGAGAGACTGCGGACGTGTTCACTGGCACTGCGAAGATTTAAACATATTTAGAAGTACAGGTCATCACAATGGAAGATGATTTTGATATATCATCAGACAATGTGGAATTTTTTGCCCAACCGTATTTATTTGACGTCACGCGCCGGATGTTGTGAACGCGCTCAGGACAGTTGGACATTGCGGTGGATCAGAGGTAAAAAATTATATAAATACTGTTCAGTTTCTTGCACAGACCAATTGTTTCGTGTCTTAAGACCTCAATGTATCGTCACGAGCCGCAGGGGTTAATTTGGTTTTGTCTGTGTATGTTTTTTTTACTCTCAAAGCCGTGGAGCCCATTGACTGCCATTATATGACTGACATACTGCAATGGTTTGAGTTAAAAATCATTGTTTGTGTTCTACTGAAGAAACAAAGTCACATACATCTTGGATGCCCTGGGGGTAAGCAAATAAACATCAAATTTTCATTTTTGGGTGAACTATCCCTTTAAGACAGCTACAGCTTGTCACTTGGGCGGTATCCTTAAAGGTACATCTTTGTACCTTATCAACCCCTTAAGAGGCCATATTAGTGCCTTACTGTACCAGCGACAAGATGAAGGAACAATTTTTTATTTATTTTTTTGCTGAGAGTTTGGGGGCAGCAGCATCATCCAAGTGTCACTGACAGGGCACACAGACCATCCTAAACAGTGCATGCACCAACATATGCTACTTTAATCATAAGCAACTACATTGAGGCTGCATTTCAAACATTATTTGAAGAATTACTGCCATTCATAAGTGGCTTCTTTGACAAATAAAGTGATTACATTTCTTGGATGAAATTATTGAAAATGACCTACAGTCCAAGAGTGTTGTTATTGTTAATTAATTAAAATTACTTTTGGTAATTGAAATAAAGCTGAAATTTAATCAAATATAAATTAGATGAAAAACTGAAAAAAAGTCAATCTAAATTAGAAATGAAATGAAATAACTTTAAACTTACAGTAAGTACTAAAATTACTAAAATAAATCAACTATAAAGATAAAAATTAAAATATATATATATTTTTTTTAATTCAATGAAAATGACAACAGCACAAAACTAAATTACTAAAAATAAAAACTGAAACTGAAAATATAAAATAAACCTCAAAATATAAATAAAAAAATATAAAAGTATATAAATAGTACTAATAGTCCTAAAAACTGCTGTCCATTTAAAATGCGGTAAATTCAGTTTTCAGTGACCAAAGCTACTCAACCACTACTAGCTTAGATTTCTGTCAAATATGATAGAATTTCAGTGACAGTTCACCCAAAAATGAAAATACATTCATTAATTTACTAGTGTTCAAAACCTGTCTAACTTACTTTCTTCTGTGAAACATAAAATTAAAAATTCTAAAAAATATCTCAGCATTTTTTGATCCACTGTTGATCCACTTGTTTTGATCAAAGGACAAAAAGAGTTGAAAGTATTGTCTTGTGTGTTCGACAGAAAGAAAGTCATACAGATTTGGAATGACAAGAGGGTGAGTACATGATGACAGAATCTATCCCTTTAAAATTGTATCTAACCGAATAAACTGCTCAGTAATTTGCCTCTAAATGTTATATATTTAGTTTAATGTTTAAAGTACTTTTTTAATAAGAGCAGACAGATATTTAGGCCACAAGTTGGTAATTAAAAGTGTGGTGAAAACAGCTTTGAATATGGAGAATATTCAAATGACAGTGTACAAACTCTTGGAACTGTCTTTGTACAATATTTTTATGAAATATTTACAACTATTTCTAACTATAAACTTCTAGGGAAGCTGACCTAAAGTGACTACGGTTTCCCTCTCCACCATCCTTATCTTCAGTTCAGACATCAAAGGAGATTTTTATCTTTAGCTACGTCTTTATTGTAAAATGGAAATGATCTGAAGTGGGTGTTTAAAGGAGACACGAGAAAAAGGGTCTCTGATGTCATGAAACATCTTCCCGCCCACAGCAGGAACCCATGACATCACGACACCTATGGAGATTACATCACAGAGCACCACAGATGGCCTGATATATTTTCCATTTGAGTGAGTGAGCGTGTTCGCACAGAATATGGAAAGTGCAACGTGTCTGCCACTCGGCTGTGTGCAGGTCAGTCGCCTGGGACTTTCCCTCTGCGAGCAGCACAGCCGAACACATGCAGAGCTCAGCACTCGGGCTATCTCGCTCGTGCATCACGCACAGGGTGGCTTGCATGTGCTCTTGGAGACGTTCATTCGCCCCTTCGTAGGGGAAGTCCAGTGTGTTGTGTTATGAGGAAGGCGTGGGGGCCAGTGTGCGTCTCAGACCCGGCTCCGTGTTTGTGAGGGGATGCCCCTACTCACCCCAAAAAACAACGCGTGAGACCGGGGGCAGCAGAAGTCGAGACAAAAACAATCAGATTTTAAAAAGTTGGCTTTTAAATAACTGCTGCTGAATCCTGTGATAAAGCGTATGTTGTGGTTCCTACAGAACATTTTGTGTGAATCAGTACCGCAAAAGGACCAAGAACGAGTGTTTGATAACAGACCATTTTTATTTTTCTCGATTTTTGACAAGTGAAACTAAAATAAGGGGTGGATAAACCATAAAAGGCTATTGTTATTTTCTGCTGGCCCTTCGAGATCGTAATCAAATAACATTCAAATGTTGTTTGTGCTGAAGGAGGTCTCACAGCGCATTGATTTCAGTATTAGATTTGCCTCTCTGAGGCTTGTGTTATCAAAGCCTTGCAGGGAAACCTCACCCAAATCTATCAGCCACCCCAGCAGAACATAGAAACACACATGAAATACACGAGTAGCCTGGGTAAACCCAGTTTAAAAGGATGTTTTATCTAAACCTGAGCATTGGTTTTCAGAAACATCTTGATCAGATGTGTTAACTGCTAGGAAAAACACAAAAGATCATAAGAAATCATACATGAAGCATTGATATTTCCACAATTACAGCCATTACCCAAGAAACCAATTCTCTTTTAGAATTTATTTAACTTGCCTTGTACAGTATATGCACATTTATAAGCCGTAAGCTGTAAGTATTACCATAAGGATCTATTCTGTTTATATATATATATATATATAGAGAGAGAGAGAGAGAGAGAGAGAGAGATAGATAGATAGATAATAATAATACCATTAAATTTGTACATTAATTATCCATTACAATGGCTTATTAAGTGTTATTGAAATTGTATTTATTTTTAGCAGCCGAGTCATTATTAGATATCTGAAATGTTAAATTTATCAAAAGTTAAGGCAAAACAAGCATTCATGGGCTCCACAGAATATAGAAACTATATAAAAATTTTAACTGCATAATTTGTCGTTGATAGTGTGTATCAAATGTTTATTCATAGTGTGCCAAGTTTCTCACTACTGTGCATTGCCTCCATTCTTATATCTGTGATACATATAAACCTTATAAAGTATTTTACATAGACTCAATGTTTCATTTATATTTACTCATAACCCATTAACACATGTAAAAAAAAAATGCATCAGTTACAATACCACTTATGGGCATTTTAAGTGTTTATCAATTATAGCAATTTTACCACAACACAACATAACTGTAGTAAACAGAACCATGTCACCTACTGCAAATCCTCAGTATGCATAAGAAATCTTACTGTTATATAGTTCATACAACAATCACCTATAATCGTTAACCACTTCTAACACCTACAGTCACATTACTGCTACAAAGGTCAATCAGCTGTTCGGCAGCACGTCAGATGATGGAATAAGGCCTTGTTTGCTTTGGCATAGAAATGAATGATGAATTAAGGCAAAAGGAAAATTAGCAGGTCCACTTGTGCATGTTTGCACTGCGTGTAGGAGTTGTGGTTGTTTTATGTACGTTGAGCGTCTGGTGTTTATTTCAGAACGCGCGTGGGTCGGCAAATCCACCGTCCCATGGCCTCCTCTACAAAAACAAATGTGCTCGAGTGTGTCACTGAGTGTCGTTCTTACTGTTGTTGTTGCTCTTAATCTGTTGTATCTGCAGGTCGATTCTTTCTTTCTTCTTTCGTTGGATCAGGTTGCCCCCGGCGAAACCAAGCAGTCCACCCCCCACGGCAGCGGCGACCCCCGCCACTTTAAATCCTGCTAAGAGTCCCAGCGGCCCCCCTAGCACTCCCCCCACCACTGCACCTGCCATGGGCAAAACCGCCAGCTTCGAACGGGCCGCCTGTGGAGAAAAAGCACATACACACACACATATCATCACTATATCTATAGATAGATGGACAGACAGACAGACAGACAGATAGATAGATAGATAGATACACAACATATGCACACAGTCATTATGGATGTTCACAATAAAGGGTTGTATGATTGTTCTGGTGCAACTTCACACAATCAACAAGGTGCGTGGGAATTTTTTTTTTTATACTGATACAATACCAGCGACACTTGTGACGTTAAGGGGTCAGAGCAAACAAAGAATGTAATTAAAAAGGGAATTTTATTTTGCCAACGCGTTTCGGCACACAGGCCTTCGTCAGGGCTAAAAGATTGCAGGTGTACATAGTGTTCCTTTAAATACAAACAAGGACACAATTCAAACTTGCAAACAACCAATGAAAATATTTGGATAATATATCATCCACCAATCACAAAATTCATCAAACAAATAGCCACATATTTTTTCGGAATAAATATACAGGTATAGTCAACAAACAGACATACTGTATAGTGATACTCCATTCAAAACATTTATGCAAAAAATAAATAAATATAAAAAAGAAATTAAAGAATACAATGCATGCGTGTTCACAACAAAGGAAATAATAATAATCATTATTATTTAACATGTAATATATTTACTTTAATAATTAAATAATAACTATTTAATAATAACAATAATTACTTAATTTTAACAATAACAAAAACAACTATTATTATTATTAGTTTCCTTACTATGATAATTAATATAATTATTAAATATTATTTAGTAACAACAATAAGACTTATTATTTTTTATTATCCTCACTATAATACCATTTCCTGTTTTTTTTTTTTTTTCATATTCCTGCATGTTTGTTGTACCACATAACCTATTTTCAAATATGAATAAGCAGTGAAGAAGTTTTTTTTTAAAAAACAACAATAATAATAATAATAATAATAAACTATTTAATGAGTTATTTCAAGAAATGTATTCTTTTAATTATTATTTAATTATTATTTGTTCCTCATTATTTCAGGACAATTATCCTCTTGACATTTTTGACTTAATGCCTAAAAAAAAAATTTCAATTCTAAAATAAAAAACATGCTCATTATTTCAAGTCATTGTATCTGTGTGCATTCTGTATGTATTTTTGAGTAAATTAATAAAAATGAGCCTCATGTCACTGGCCCACATGCAATGTGCATGAAAGCTTCAAACAGGTGAGAAATTAATCATTTAGGTGTCATCAATGTCCAAAAACACTATTTGAACTAACACTTTTCATGTGCTGTTTTTCTGATAACCAAACAATTGTAAAGTCTTTCATGTCCGGTTTCCAGCCAAACAGAAATATATGCAGTCGTATGTAAACACACAAACAATATTAATCAGAGATCTAAAAAAAAAAAGCCACGGTGAAATTAGACATGTGCAGATCAAACCAGACCTGGTAAATTAATTTGATATCAGGTAAAAAGAAAAACTCCCTTAGCCAGATTATTCTTTAATTAGTACAACGAAACAAGCCCCCCGGCACGCACACACACAATTTAATTTCAGTGAAGATATGTAAACTTTAAAGGCAGGGTCGACCATCAAATGCCACCTTTCCTCTCTTCTCATCTCTCTTTCACCCTTTCTCATGCTCTCGTTCTCTGTCATCTAATCATCTTCACAAGGCAGGGTTAACCGAGCAGTTAATTATGTGTGGAGAGAGAGATTGAGGAAGTAACTCATGTTATTCGGATACGCCTAAGCCAGCACTTTAAGGACTGACTTTGTGTGTGTGTGTGTGTGTGTGTGTCAGAATAGCTACGGTATATCTTTAGCAGTGTGTGTGTGTGTATGTGTGTTGACCACCCCCTGTCCTTTTCAGCAGTCACAGAGGTGGGTCCACTTTCTACACGGGCATCAGACAAAATGCTCAATAGAACTGCATTAACTCTCAACTCCAAAAAAGAGAAACATTTCAATTGAGACTCGATCAATAAAACACATACAAACCCTTGTTCGTACACAAACACACACAGCCCATGCCTCCATGTTTCACCCTTCCCTTGCTTTCTCTGTCAAAAGTTGGTGTGAGTATGTGCGTGTATATGTATCGAACCCCCAGCTGGAACTCGAATGCTGTTTATAGACTCTCTTTTACACTCTTTAGACTTCCATGCGCTCGAGCACACATCGACTCCCTGCGAGGGGCCAACCAACACACATTGATCCCTCTCAACTCCATGCCTTCCGCCACCATCGCCACCCCTCTCCCCTCTCTCTTAATTGTGGTTTCCTTGCGCTCTGAGGTGGATCAATTGGCTGATGGCAGGGTAGGCCGAGTGAAGCAGGGGGGTAGAGTGGAATCGATCCCCTAGCAGGAGTATCCCCTCTCCCCTTACCTTCCCTAGGCTCTGGGTCCCCTCCTCCACATTAGCGGCTGCTATGCTAACGTTGGCCTCAATGCTGTCAATCTTCTCCTGCTGAGCCTAAAACAGAAAGACACAGGTTACAGACTGTCCATACACACAAACTCCATAATACTCCAGACAAGATATAGGAGTAGTTGATAAATGTGTGTGTGTATATATACAGTATATATATATATATATATATATATATATATATATATATATATATAT